CAGATCCTCAGTGAGCCCCTTGCAGGAGGCGAGGATGCCCCAGAAGAGGAACTTAGGGAAAGTGAGTACAGTTGGAGAGAAGTGGGCCCCGGGACAGGGGTTCATAAAATAAGGCAATAGAGGGAGGCAGGGGCCGGGTTTTGAAGGCCTTGCGGACCTTCATACAGATTTGCATTCTCTCCCGGTCTTCGTGACCTACAGCACCTCCTCTGATTGCGGCTGTACCTCCAGTGGCAGCACAGTCTGTGGAACACAGGAGACCCTAATAAATGTCCATGGAATGAATGAGAGCTCACACTCCCAGAGTTGCCCTGGGTTCCCGGGGCCCAGAATCTACTATTTGAAAAATTTGATCACTTGTTTCCATATAATGTCAACCAATGTCATAGATATTTGGGGGGAGATGTTTGCTTAAGGAAACAGTGGTCCTGCCGTTACCTGCAACACAGCAGCCACTTGTGTACACAGACACGTGCACACCAGCACACCCCGCTCTGGGGGTGAGCAGCCCAAGTGCCTGGTCTCAGGTGATTCGCGTGACCTACAGCGCGGCGTTAGACTTGTCCACCGAACGTCTGCTTACTGAGTGAAGGACATTAAGCCAGGAGCCTGACCGGCTACCAGTGGTCTTGCTCACTACCACTTAATAACTGTGGACCTCAGTGGGGCAAGTTCCTTAACCTTTCTGAGCATCCACCTCTTCATCTGCATAATGGGAATAATAATAATAGTTGTCTCATAGAGTTGGCATGCAGTTAAAACCACACAGACACACACACTACTTGGAACACAGCTGATGGCCAACAAATATGATGAATAAATAAATGTTACTCATTCTTCCTCTGGTCTTCCTAGTATTAGGATTAGTTAGTTGCCTGGTGGTGTTTACTACACACATGCACCCACAAGCTCTGAGAATCTGAATTCGGTCTGTGACAACTGAGGTGGAGCCAGCACCCCTCCAGCCTCCCATCACCGTTCCCAGGTGGGTGGATTCTGAAGCGGCTGCCAGGGTTCCCTCTGAGATGCCCGGCCCCTCGGAACTTTCCCAGTGGCTGCTGTTCCGTGATTTTCGTCCCAAGAGAGCTGATTGATGCGAAGGCCCTGGGCGCCCTCTGCTGGCAGAGGCCATGCAGGATGCCTGGCAGGCCCCAGGTGGCAGCCGAGGGTCTGGTCCTGAGGGGCAGTCCGAGGTCTTTGCTCTTCATTCCCCGCTTGGTCCATGCCTCTGTCCCTCCCTCCCCTCCACACTGGCCTGTGAACTCCCACCCCTCCATCTTCTCCCTTCTCATATGCGTCCTTAAGATCCTCTTGCTTCCTGGAAGCCCAGTGGCAGAACCTTCCTCCAAGGAGAAGGGGTGTCGTGCCAGGCCCTGGCCGTGCTGAGGTCGCCCACTGTGCTGCCCCCCATTGTCCCTTCAGTTCAGGGTCAGATTTGCCCACAGAGTCAAGCCTGGTTTACCCGAAGGCAGAGGGTTTGGAGGAGAGGGATGTGGGGACAGACAGGGTGGCTCTCTGCCCCATTCCTCTGCAATTATAAACGCACTGCCAGGGAATATTTGAAAAGGAGACCCCTGGGTGGGAAGGTGAAAAAAGGTAAGTCTGCCTTCAGATTGCTCTTCCCAAAGGCGTCTGGTGTGTAAGTCCCGGGAAGCCACGTCACCTCTGGGAGCCCTGTTTCCTTACTGGCTGGATGGGGGAGTGGGCATCTCATGGCACTGGCATGAGGACTGGTGAGGTCACCTGGAGTGCAGAGCCCCCGGGGTGGTTGGGGAGTCTGGTGGGAACTAGCAGGGCCCTTCTCTCGGCCGTGACCTCTGTGGGCTCAGCACACCTGTGGGTGCTCTGGTTCATCATCCTGGGCAGCCTGCACAGGTCACAGAGCAGAGGTGACGAATGTGAGCTTTGGGGGCAAACCACCCAAGATCTCCAACTGCCTTGTGCTTCAGCTCTTCAGCCTCTGAACAGGGTCTCCACAGCCTATGTCCTAGGGTTGCGTGAGGACTAATGTAAAGTACAGTGCCTGGTGCATTCGCCTACTGCTGAAGGGCTGGTGTCATCATTATTGCTAGATCTGGAGATAAGGTGGTCTGATGGAGGTCTGAGGGGCTTGCCCAGGTTACACAGCTAGGACGTGTGTAGGGCAGGGCCTTCAGAGCCATCTCGCTCTGAGCTACTTTCTCACTCTTGCCCTCTCCCACCCATAGAATGAGTGCTTGGGTCTCGTGGGCGAAGGGTCCCAGAAGCACCCAGCCCACCCCAAATTCCTGATGGTGGGCCCCACTGACTATTCTACGTGGCTAATGTGTTGTTTCCCCAGCAAGGCTGGGAAGATCTCGAGCACAAGAGGCAAATCCAGTCCGTCTCTGGGTCCCTAGGCCCAGCTCAGGGTTCCATCCCAAGAGTGTGCTCAATGCATGCTGAATAACTAGGGCATGGGGGCAGCCCGCCACCCTGCAGTATCTGTGTGGGAAGAGTGAATCTCCAGAGGCCACCTCATGAGGGAGACAGGAGGAAACGTAGCCCTTTAGACCCTGGAAAATGTTACAGGCTACTTGGGGATACAGCCACCGCCCCTGACAGGCTGTCTTTTTCTATTCACAGGGCTGTAGCACGTGCCCAGGTTGGCAGACAAATCACAGGCCAGCCACAAACCCCCAGGCAGAAGCCACGATCACAGGCACAAACAAGAACAGCTCCACAGGCCAGGTGGGCACACACATGCAGGCACATAAAATAACACGCTTATACGCACAAGCGTGGACCTAGAAACTCACCGTCATGCACGCCTATGCCCGGCAGGCAGTCCGAGGCCCAGCTGCTTACCTCACCAGGTTTGCATCAAACAGGCCTGAGGTCCAGTCCCAATTCTATCTACTGCCTCTTAACCCTGAACCTCCTTTTCTCCTCATCTGTGAATTGAAGATAACAAAGCTATTGTGTGGGGTTGCTGTGGAGGTTCATTATAAAATGTTTGTGAAGAGCTTAGCCAGATCCTAGCAAATTATAAAGATGCAGTGACTTGTCAGAGATGATGGTGCCGATGCTGGTGCTGATGAAGGTGGGCCTAATGTCTCCTCCTCTGGACGCTGAGCTGCTAAGGGGTCAGACTCAGGGAAGGTGTTTGCCGCATGAATGAACCGATGGCGAGCGGCGCCGATGCCCACGTGGGGAGCATGGGGACGTGGTGTACAGGCAGGAAGGTGACCCAGGCCCCTGGACACTTGTGCAGGTGCTTTAGAACTGATTGAGACCCAGGCCCCAAAGGCTTCACTTCAACATCACCTATTTTTGTTTTTTCTTTGTTCTGATTTTTATTTCAAAGTTGCCCATTCCGGGTGGCCAAATGAAGTGATAAATGTCTCCTCCCTTTGTTCTTCTCCCCCTCCACTTCCTTCTCTCCAGATTGTAATGGGTATCTCTAACTCTGAGCATCTTTGAATATGAAAAGACCTCAAAATTCAGATTTTAATGCAGAAATGCCCACAATACCATCCGTGCCAGGTAGCTGTCAAGTTCCCTGCTTGTTTGCTCCCAGTAACCAGAAGCTTACCACCTGTCTTAGCAGGCTACTCTGTTTTCAGGCAGGTCTATTGTCCAGAAGACTGAAGCCTGCCTCCCTATAATGCACTATCACCACCCTACCCACCCTAGGATCCCCTGTGTTCAGGGTTGCATCCTCTGAGGTTACCCAGAGGTCTGTCTTCTATTTCCTGGCATGGCCCTACTGGGAAGAGATAGAGGTACCTGCAGAAGTTAGGACAGGAGAAAGCATTAGCCAGGGAGCTGAGAGACCTGGGTGTGAATCTAACCCAGTGGTTGACATTGAGCATGTCACTCCCCTTCTCCAGGCCTCAGTTTCCCTATCCATAAAAGGAATCTGATCCAAAATATCTCTTAGGGTCCTCCTACTTTAAGAAACACACACCCATTCTTCCAAGCCTTCCCTTTCTCCAACTTAACCTTGTCCTCTCTTTCTTCAAGTACTCCATGCTGTTCACAGCTCCCTCGTGCTCTCCTCCCCACTGTCACTGCTCATTCAAGAGGATGTTCAGCAGCCAGACCTACAGTTTATAGAGCAGCAGACTGTGGCTTGAGCAGTTGTCAGCTTCAACCCATTGAATGTTTACAACTACTCTGAGATTTCACTTTACAGATAAGGAAACTGAGGTTCAGAGTGGACCAGTGGCTTGCCCAAGATATGCAGCTAATAAGTGGTGGGCCAGGATTTGGCCCCTAGCCTGCCAGATTCTAGAGCTTATCATTAGCACCATATTCTCAGAGCTGGGATCCAGGGAGCCAGAGGCATCAGAGCAAAGCTTCCCACCTGCCCATCAAGAGTCTCTCTTCTGACCACAAGCTTCCTGCCCTCCCGCCCCGCAGCCCCCAGCTGCCTCCACTTCCTCCACTTGGTAGTGTCTCTGCTCCTCTCCACAGGGAGAACAACTTCATCAAGGACTTTCCTCAGCTGGCCGACGGGCTGTTGGTGATCCCACTGCCGGTGGAGGAGCAGTGCCGGGGGGTCCTCTCCGAGCCCCTCCCGGACCTCCAGCTGCTCACTGGTAAGACGCACATGCTGGACCGCTCTCCAGCCTGCCTGGCCACACGCCTGGTCTCTGGGTACAATCAGTCCTCAGCACACCCAAGTGTTGCCAGGCCACCTTCTTCATGAGGGACAGGCTGTGAAAGGGACCTGCTTGTAATCCTGCTGTGGGCTCTGTGGAACGAGGGGCTTCCTGAGACCCTAGACTCTGAGCCAAGGCCAGATTTACTCTCTCAGCATATTTCAAGTACACAGTACAGTATTATTAATATGCCCACCAAGCCATACATCCGATCCCCCTTTGCATCCTTTGACCAGCATCCCCCCATGTCCCCCACACCCCCACCCATTCTTCTCACTCTTGCCCTCTCCCACCCATAGAATGAGTGCTTGGGTCTCGTGGGCGAAGGGTCCCAGAAGCACCCAGCCCACCCCAAATTCCTGATGGTGGGCCCCACTGACTATTCTACGTGGCTAATGTGTTGTTTCCCCAGCAAGGCTGGGAAGATCTCGAGCACAAGAGGCAAATCCAGTCCGTCTCTGGGTCCCTAGGCCCAGCTCAGGGTTCCATCCCAAAAGTGTGCTCAATGCATGCTGAATAACTAGGGCATGGGGGCAGCCCGCCACCCTGCAGTATCTGTGTGGGAAGAGTGAATCTCCAGAGGCCACCTCATGAGGGAGACAGGAGGAAACGTAGCCCTTTAGACCCTGGAAAATGTTACAGGCTACTTGGGGATACAGCCACCGCCCCTGACAGGCTGTCTTTTTCTATTCACAGGGCTGTAGCACGTGCCCAGGTTGGCAGACAAATCACAGGCCAGCCACAAACCCCCAGGCAGAAGCCACGATCACAGGCACAAACAAGAACAGCTCCACAGGCCAGGTGGGCACACACATGCAGGCACATAAAATAACACGCTTATACGCACAAGCGTGGACCTAGAAACTCACCGTCATGCACGCCTATGCCCGGCAGGCAGTCCGAGGCCCAGCTGCTTACCTCACCAGGTTTGCATCAAACAGGCCTGAGGTCCAGTCCCAATTCTATCTACTGCCTCTTAACCCTGAACCTCCTTTTCTCCTCATCTGTGAATTGAAGATAACAAAGCTATTGTGTGGGGTTGCTGTGGAGGTTCATTATAAAATGTTTGTGAAGAGCTTAGCCAGATCCTAGCAAATTATAAAGATGCAGTGACTTGTCAGAGATGATGGTGCCGATGCTGGTGCTGATGAAGGTGGGCCTAATGTCTCCTCCTCTGGACGCTGAGCTGCTAAGGGGTCAGACTCAGGGAAGGTGTTTGCCGCATGAATGAACCGATGGCGAGCGGCGCCGATGCCCACGTGGGGAGCATGGGGACGTGGTGTACAGGCAGGAAGGTGACCCAGGCCCCTGGACACTTGTGCAGGTGCTTTAGAACTGATTGAGACCCAGGCCCCAAAGGCTTCACTTCAACATCACCTATTTTTGTTTTTTCTTTGTTCTGATTTTTATTTCAAAGTTGCCCATTCCGGTGGCCAAATGAAGTGATAAATGTCTCCTCCCTTTGTTCTTCTCCCCCTCCACTTCCTTCTCTCCAGATTGTAATGGGTATCTCTAACTCTGAGCATCTTTGAATATGAAAAGACCTCAAAATTCAGATTTTAATGCAGAAATGCCCACAATACCATCCGTGCCAGGTAGCTGTCAAGTTCCCTGCTTGTTTGCTCCCAGTAACCAGAAGCTTACCACCTGTCTTAGCAGGCTACTCTGTTTTCAGGCAGGTCTATTGTCCAGAAGACTGAAGCCTGCCTCCCTATAATGCACTATCACCACCCTACCCACCCTAGGATCCCCTGTGTTCAGGGTTGCATCCTCTGAGGTTACCCAGAGGTCTGTCTTCTATTTCCTGGCATGGCCCTACTGGGAAGAGATAGAGGTACCTGCAGAAGTTAGGACAGGAGAAAGCATTAGCCAGGGAGCTGAGAGACCTGGGTG